ACCATGAAAGTGTGCCAAATGATAATCTGAGGAATTAAAGAATAATCCCAGCGGATTATTTCAGTTTTTTTAATAGGCAAACATGTTGTGCAGCTAATGTGGGGCAATCAGAAATTAGAGAAAATTTAAGATCAGTTTAGAACCAGTAAACAAAGCCTGTATGTGGTTTATAAAGCTTTCTCCTATGGTAGTGCTTCTCCTCCCCCCCGGTGTCAGCTGGTATACACTCCCACCCCCATGAACTGTATCAAAGGTTAAGAGGGGGCACTTTCAAGTTAAAAAATAACAAATAAATTATTTAAATAAAATAAAAAATAAGTGTTTTTTCTGTTTTCAGGCCAAAAATAACAACTACAAATCAGACCATATTATCAAGCAGTGTTGGTCCAGCAGCTAACAGCGCGTCAAAGTGTTTGTGCGCCTCACCCTGCTCTCCACTGTGGTCTGCTTGACGATGTTCTCCAGCCTCTGCTGGTGGTTCCTGCTTGCTTTAGGACCGGCGCTCTTTTTGTCCTCCGCTTTCTGCGTCACACAGACACGGCGCATTACAAACACGTCACGTTAATTAGCACGCGCGGGGCCAGGTGCTACGTGTGCCCGAGTCTCACCGGTGCTGGGTTTCGCAGCAGCATCAGTTGCTCGGCCCTCCTCATCTTCTCCTGCTCCATCTCTCTGCTGATGGTTTGTTTGGCCTGGTACGTCAGCTGGCGGCGCGGAGGCAGGCCTGGAAACCTCACCACCTCCTCGACGCGCCTGGAAACCCGCAGTAAACACAAACAAACGAGACGCTCGTTGTTTACACGCAGTAAACACAAATGCACTTGTGATGCAACTGACACTCGGCTGAACCCTGTTAGATGACGAACAATAACAAAAAGCTTCCACTTCTGGTGCCGTGGTTGTTGTTTTGGTTTCCCCCCCCCCAGAATAAAACCCAGAATCTCTCATTCTCTAAAACTTTAATCCTCTTACTGCTGATCTCTAACTCAATCCACACACACACACACAAACACTCTCACTCACAGCCCTGTGGACCAATAAATACAATAAAAGCAGTCACACGGTTCAGACGGCTATTTATTGTGGAATAGCGTTATGTCAACCGTGTTATCATTAGCATCTACATCTGCAGATATCATCTTTAACATCTGAATCCATACAATTCAACAGCAGTTCTGTAACGAACAATAAAAATGAACAACACTGGTTAAACTTCATTTACTAAAATCTAGCCACAGGTTACTTTTAAATTCATTTTTAACCGTATTAGGACATATTAGGGATTTATAAGGACACACAGTCTTCCGCGTGAAAGCAGACATCAGTTCTAGGGTTTATTTTAAATGACCTCTCCTCATCTTTCCCACTCTTCTTCCCTGCACATCTCCTCCTGCTCACAGCGTCCGACATGACCAATCGCCAACTGCGGCCAAAAAGAGAGCAGTCCAATCAAATAATCTTGTCCTGCCTGAGAGCATCCGCTGTTTGTAATGTTAAATGTTTAGATCCACGGCTGTACTCTGTGCCTTTTATGCGTGAGATATCAGAGAGTGGAGTTGTGGTGCGCTTGAGAGGGCAGGTACAGAAAGGTGTAGATCAGCAGCAGCAGCAGCAGAGCCAGCACTAGAGGCAGGCCCCAGTCGTTGGTGACCAGCACTTCGTCACAGCGAGCCTGTAGAAAGGAGCCGTCCTGGGCGTCCCGCTGCTCCTCCACACGGGCCGGCATGGCTGAGGTAACAAGCTGGTTATCCCATTCTAACTGCGGCAGGCGCCGGCATCCTCAGAATCACAAAAATGAGGGTGACTTTTAAGTAAAAGTCTCTCAAGTTAAAAATGCTCTTTTTCTTCTTTTATCCTTTCATTCCTCGACCTTTCAAAAGGCCACCTCGTCACTTACTGCCTACTAATCTATCTAACTTAAACCCGCCCCTCCTTCCATCCTCTCCTTCATTCACCTGCATTTA